CGCGCCGTGGCGCCGCGCGCGACCTGCCAAGTGAAGGGGAGACCTGGTGAGTCCGCGCGGATACAGCCGGGGAGTTAGCCAGCTGGAAAGGAGCGCTTGGTCTGCTTTGTCTGCACTTGCTGACAAAACGTTAGTGCCTTGGAGCAGTGACACACTGGGGGTAGGGAAGCCGTAGACAGGTCTTGAAGCTGCAGATGGGCAGTAACTAGCCTGGTGCGATGTGTTTAATGAACAGGAATGCAAACCAAAAGGTCTCTGTTATTTGCCTCCCACCAAGGCAGCCTCCTGTGGGAGGAGCACAACAGCCAGAGAGCAATGCACAGCAATGCTGCACACCAATCTCATATTCAAGTGCCGCGTGCGGTGGGGGGGGTATGTGAGAGAAAAGTGCTGTGAGAAAAGTGTGAGAGAAAAGTTCTTTAAGAGCCAGGAGTGGGATGGGGCCTTGATTTGACGTCTCTAGATAAGAAGAGGGCTCGTCAGTCTTTGCTCCGTCTAATCTGTGGTCTCTGCTGAGGAAGGCCTACCATTTTAAAGGATTAAAAAGAAACCCCACAAAACTGACCAGCACATTTTAAAAACCTCACCTGATCTAATGGTATGTCTACACTACCATGGCTAAGCTATGGCGCTGTAGCTGGGCCTGTAGCATTGTAGTGTAGACGCTACATCACCAGAAGAGGTTTTTCCATTAATGTAGTGAATCCACCTCTCTGAAAGGTGGTAGCAAGGTCTAGCCAGGTCTGTACCAGTGGTTAGGTTGAACTACGTCCCACAGGGCATGACATCTTTCACAGCCCTGAGCAATGTCGCTAGGGTTTTAGGTGTAGACCAGGCCCCAGAAATGAATCCTATGTGTGTGGCCAGGGGTCTCCAACCCCCGAGGGGTGAGAGGAAGAACCTGTTTGGTTTGCTTTTATTTCCCCTGCAGTCTGGGGATTTTGTTAACTCCAGAATGAGGCTCCACAGAAAGCATGGTGGTGCAAAGCTGCTGGCTCTCGCACTTTTTGAATGGCAGTGCCGTGCTGCGGAGTAAAACTCAGCAAGTGCAAAGGAGCAAGTCACCTGTGTTGTTTCCGCCGTGGTGACTCTGTGGTGCACGGAGACCTCTGGTTCTGCCTTCTTTGTGCCAGTCACCGAGCTGACAGTCACAGCCTCTGTTTTCAGAACGGATGACTGCAGAGGGAACACAGCAAGTCAGCAACAGATTGCGTGAAACTGCGTTGGTTCCTGGGCTTCGGTTAAAAATGCAACAGCATCTTAGTGTGTACTGAATTGCACCTCTTTCCCTAAGCTGCACATGTTAGTACCCGCCTCCTGCAGTCCCTGGACCAAGTAACACTGCTGGGAAGAGCTGTGGGTGCTAGGAGGCCCGAGCTGCATTTGCAAGGTCACTGTCTTGGGTAACTGTAGGCCTCTTTACACTGAGAAAAAAACAGCACAGACCAGTGTCGCCCATAATGCACACAGGCACTGTGCAGGCTTCCCCACACAATTAGCCAGTGCACCCCAATCCCGAGCTGACGCTCCTTCAGCAGGCCTTCTCCTGAGCAGGCTGCAAAGCGTCTCCTGGTTTGTGACAAACAGCCACTCGAGATTGGAATGAGACCCACCAAACTCATTGCACTGGTGGCCTAGGGAAGCTTTGTAATGATGGATTAGGTTCACCCATGTTGGTGCGTGGAGCCAGCCTGACCCTCAGGGATGCAGGGCAGAGGAGGACTAACTCTGAGGGGCAGAAACATATGACCAGCCCCTGTCCATCCAGCTGGAACCCTGCTGGTGAAGGTTGCTCAGGGGATGTGCTGATCCAGCACTCACCCAGTTGCCCTGGCCATGCCCCTGCCTTCATTTTATGGGCTGTGCTGGTCTCTGCAGGCCATCCTGGCAGAGGGGAGGATGCAGTCACTTCCCCACCTCTGCCAGGCTGTATCCTGGTGCGGTACTGGGTGAATTCGAGGCCCAGGTCTCTGGGATGTATTCTCTGAGCACAGGCTTCAGCTCAAACACCCTGAGGATGCCTGTGGGGATGTTGGTTTAATTTCTTGGCCTTGACCCTGCTTGAGTTTGGTCCTAACATTTGGCTCTGCAGGGACCTGGTGTGAATTTCCTCATGGGGAAGGGCTTGAGGGGGGCGCCACATGTCAGTTACACCAAATTGGAGCCTGGGCCCAGGTGGTGAAAAACAGCAACTCTATCAGGGTGCTATTCTAGGGGGACAGGGGCATTGGCCGAGGGGGCAGATCTCCCCTGATTTGAAAGGCAGGGAGTTTGGTTCTCTGGATAGCAGTGCCAATCTGCACAGAGTAAAATGTCCAACCTGCGGAAGACAGGAGGGACTTGGGAACACTGAAGGCTGGAAGACACAATCCATGGTAAGGAACTGAGGAGTTGGACCCAGTTTCAGAATTGCAGAGAGCACAATGCTTCTTTCACTGGGATTCTGGCTCTGCCCTGTTCTCTTTGGCATTTGGACACCTTTAGTTTCTCCAGCAACTCCATGTGCAATTTGTTTAGCCTGATCATATTATAACTACTCCCCTCACAGGAATCATCACAGACCTTTTTGCCATGTCCCACCAGCCCTTATGTAAGGTGCTTATCCCCCTTTATGACCACAGTACACGTTACTTCAACACGCATGCTATTTGTTAAATTCATGCAACACACAGGAACAGAGATTTGGGTTAAGAGAAACACACCACTCACCCGTGCATGCTGCTACAGTACAGGCATGGGGTAGCCAGCCAAACACAATGAGTTAAGATGACGACGGCTTTTTCAGCTAGATGCATGGACACACTTACACAATATAATCATGCACCTGGAGGAGTCGAAAACAGCATGCAAAACAGAGACAACATTCATTTGGGGAAAACAAACACTCCAGAGGATCTCTGGATTGTCTGAAAGCTGGCATGCTCTTCCAAACAGATGCAAGGAGCATGCTGGTCAAACAATGCCAGATGCCAAGACAGATAACACTGTGAGATGACGACACTGAAACACAAGTCTTGTGGCATGGCTCCCCATAGTACCTCAAAGTGGGACACTTCTGGGATATGGTGGGAGCCCTGCTCCCCTTCCTTGGCATCTTCTTCTTGGCCAGGAGTTGCTTTGTCAGTATCCTGGGAGGAAATCGCACCTTCAGCTTCCCTCTCACTCATGTCTTTATCGAGCTCAGGCAGACTTCTGGAGAAGTCTTCAAAGGCTGTGCTGTGGAAGTCACCGATCATAGTGAAGTCTACTTCGGCTTCCAGGCTGGAGGTCGAGCTGACCGTGATGCTCGAGCACTTTCGTTCGATGGCCAGATGGTTGTCCTTCAGAAAGACCGAATCCCTCTCCTGGTCTTGCTCCTCATCCCCAGTGTCGCTCTCAGGAGCCCTGTGCCGAGGTGGCTTCGCTTTCTCCTCTGCGCCCTCCCTCGCTCCCGCTCTCTGAATGAGACACAATGGCGAAGAGAGACTAAGACCGTAAATTCCAAAGGGCAGGCTAGGGCCAGCTAAGCCAACAGGAGAGAGGGAGGAGGCGGCTGGGAAAATGTCACAGAGGGCGATTCAAACACAACTCAAGCATGAAAACTGAAACTTTTGACAGCAGCAACTTTGCAGGGGAAATTTATTTGGTCTGATTTGCAGAGAGGAATTAGAAAAGAAATAATAATAATAATAAAGAAAAACAGTTCCAAAGAAATTCTCAGGCATGTCGTTGAACCTGATGGAAGCAGACGTTTGCAAAACAACAGGTATGTTAAGAGACATTTATAAACAGCTCAGACTGCAATTATGTGTCAGTAAGTTTGGCACCAAAACAAACAAGGAAGGGAAGGGGGGAAAGGATAGGATTTTGAATGAAAGAAAAGAAAAAAGCTCCATCAGCTGCATGTATTCAAGGAGAAGTGAAGGAGCTTGTCAATTTCACTGAGATCACCCTATAAGAGTTTTACACTCACTGTGTTGGGGCATCACTCTAGGTTTTTATGTGTTCATTTTAATCAGATGTACGGGAGGAATGGTCAATGTTCACCCATGGAGGCCCCGTGAATAGGACAGGGCAGGGCATCACCCTGCAGGGGATCCTGCTGGAAGCTGAACAGAGCGCTTGTGTGAGAACGAGCCCGGACTCTGTAATGCTTCCCAAAAGCTTGCTGAACAACCGGAGCGGACCCAGTCAAGTTTAAACAGCTGCGTTTTTAATCAGTGTAATTGACAACAGGATCAGAGCAAAGAGATAGCCTTCCTCTGCTGGCTCCTCTCGAACGACGTACATACCTCTCAACTGTCCCAGCAGGGGGTAAATTTCACCCCACCTTGCTTGCCACCTGGTTGCTGCTCAGGAATCAGAAATTGGGAATTATTCATTATTTTTGTTTTAAGATTTGCTTTTTGCTCAAGGAACGGTTTCACTCCTCTCTAAAGGCTGAACCAAAGCCCACTGATGTCAATGGAAAGCCTTCCAGTGACCTTGACGTGCTCAGGATCAGGCCGTCACAAAGTCAGAGATATCCCCCACTTTGGTCGGACCGTTCCAACTTGGCTGCCTTTTGTCCAGATGACTGGTGGGTTGAGAGGTATGAGACATAGGGGTCTCCAACAAACTCGAGAGGAGCATATACATATACACACACACACACACACACGTATGTGTATATATATATAGCAGCTCTGCAATAGGGGAAGGAGTCAAAAGCATACAGTCCTCAGCTGGTTAAGGTGAGCTTTCATACTACAGTAAGAAGCAGTTAGTAAAACAGCACTGAGACCTGGGAGACCACTGGAATAGCAGTCCTTAAACCCTCTTCTTTCGGGGCGGCTTTTATTGATGGGTCAGGTAAATCCTTTTCTTCCCAAATTGGTTCCTGAGATTTGCTCTGGATTAGAGAAACGGGTTAGTCTTTAGCAATGAACTCCAAAAGGAACTGAGCCAGTGCCTTACAAGAGCAGCAGAAAGCTATTTCACCCTCCAGGCACCAGCTTGCCAAAGGGGGTGGGGAGGAGGTGAGAGGGACTCACAAGCCAAGCAAGAGGGGACAACAAATTAAGAAGTGCAAGGAACAAGCTGGAAGCGTGGGAATTTTGCTGCTAGATGTGCATGTGTGTGTGGGAATATAAAAGCTCTCTGATCCGCACCCCCACGCCCCCTTCTTGCTCCTGGGATTGAAGCTCGTGTGCCCAGTTGACATTCTCCAGGTAGCCAAACCGTCAGGAGTTCACAAAACAAAAGCTGATGGACCGACTGGCCAGCGGGTCTGCATTCAGCTTAGGAGCCAGGCCACATACACATACATAAAGGACAGGGAATGCAAAGCGGCCGTTCTCAGTCAATGGATGTGTGAGGTGCCATTGAACATGATCATAAATAAAAGAGCCACGCAACATGCTTATGAACTTTCCATTGGGACAGTTCATGGGAGGAGTTACCACAGCTTCTGTCACGGTGATTTCACAGCCAGAATCGGGGGAAGCAAGCCCGGTGCCTTCTCCTCTGTGCTCTGAATTGGTGGAAACACCTTCCTTCAAAGACGGAGGCTGGGAAGACTCTCTTGTGGCTGCCCGTTGCACAGTGGTTAGGCATCCAACACCAGACACTTCCCCAACATGCCTTGCTCTGTCATCTGAGGTGACCGAGGGTGTGAGAGACATGGCTAGACCCGCGGCCCGTGGCAGCTCTATCTGCACCTCTGTTGGTTTAGATGGTCTCTTGGTTTCACTCTCTCGGGGCCGCTCTTGGGCTGCTCTTTTTCGCTCATCAGAGACTGGGCCACAAGCACCACCTTGTTCAAACAGCTTAATTTTAGAAGCCACAGAGGTTTTTTCATACATCTCGCAGTCATGCCCCAGTGAGCCCTGCCAGCCAGTGGTGAGGGAGGGTGAAGCCAGCTCCACAGGTGCCTCCTCAGGCTCCTGAGACGTGACTTCCACCCCACCTGCAATGGACTTCAAAGGCCCAGACTGTGGCTTCTGTTTCCTATTGGTAGGTTTCCTGCCTTCAGCCGTGGCAACAACAGGCCGAGACAATTCCTTGTCCCCATGAGGTGATCCTCTTACAGGAGAGCCTGTAGAGACGGCTTCAGTTTCTTCTCCTGGAGGAGGTTTATCCTGCAGTTGCTTGCCCGTGGCAGGGCCTTTGTCCTGGGGCAGCTCATCTGCCTTGAAGCTTATGTCCTGGGAAGGCTCGCCCATGTTGGGGCTGGTGTCCTGGGAAGGCTCGCCCACGGTGGGGCCGGTGCTCTGGGGCGGCTCGCCCACGGTGGGGCCTGTGTCCTGGGGCGGCTCGCCCGCCTTGGGGCCTGTGTCCTGGGGCGGCTCGCCCTCGGCGGTGCCTGTGTCCTGGGGCGGCTCGCCTGCCTTGAGGCCTGTGTCCTGGGGCGGCTCGCCTGCCTTGAGGCCTGTGTTCCGGGGCGGCTCGCCCTTG